TCTTCAGCCCGGAAACTTGCAGACACGGCCCAGGACTTCCACGACTCTCTGAAAATTCAGCTTGGAATCTTCGACCTCCGGAAAGGAGTTCCTTGGCTGACTCCAGAAACACGGAAACGTGATTGGCAACACTCCGCCAGTGACAGGTCTAGACTGAGTCGCACAACCATTCAAACATAAGAAGACGAGCCTCTCGTGAAGTATGTCTCTGCTGAAGAGTTGCATCAATACATCATCCGGGGATGCCTTGTCATTATTTGTCTTCAGCACACACACACACAGGGAGCAACGGCGCTTTAGGCATCAGCTAGCACAACAAGAATAATTAGTGATACGGCGGTAGGTGCCGGCGAGTGGCACAATCCAAGTAGCGTTGGCCAGCCTCCTGGAGGCTGTTCCCGAACTTGCCCGTGTGCCAGGGGGTCCGTCTGGCACGGAACAACCACCCAGACAGCATTACCATACCTTCAGACAAAAGGAAATGTTTTCTGAAAACCCTGCAACATCTTGATTGCTTCAATGCTTGCGTACTACGTAGTTGGTATGGGCCAAGTGTCGTTTGATGATCGGCGTCGCAGACGTAACTCGACCAAAATGTGCGTGGAGCTTGTGACTCAGCTCCAACAAACTGACATCACGGTTTAGAAGAGTTCCGGGCTGGAAGCTGCCACCTACTTATAACATTCTATATCTCAACCCAGTACGAGATCCTATTGTACTATCCTTTATTTATCCCTGACTCAAGCCTAGAGCCTTAGTCTATACCCCGATGCCTGAACCTAGCAAAACCCTAAAGCCAAGACCCTCTTCAGCGAACAAACAGAATCATGCAAGTGGCATCTCATCCCTTATGAGGGCCACAGCAGCACCATTGTGGCAAAGATACTGGTATCCTGCAAAAAGTGGCGATCCCTGGTCAGGGCACAGCACCAAGCGGAGGTGCTTTGCGGTGTCCAGTGGAACGTCCCAGCGGCATTCATCAGTCCGTATGTCACGGATAAATGCAAGCTGCTCCTTGCCCATCACATGGATGTGCCTCTCCTCGAAGTCTGGGTTCAGAGGCCGGAAAGGCTCCGAGGGCCATAGTGAATCCAGATCAAGGCCTGTGTGCTGCATGATGTTGCAGATGGCCTTCAACTCTTGCTTGGCCGCCAACCGATCTTCTTTCAAGGAGTTCAGAGCCTTGGGCCTGGGTGTTGATAAGTGAGGTCACAGGAAAAGGAGAAGTTAAAGCCAAATGTGGGTACAGGTGCACATTGCTGGGTATTACCGACTAGGCACAGCTTCTTCTTGGCTTCCTGCTTGACGTCTGCTGCCAGCGTCTCTGTTCTCGAGTCACAAACCAATGCAGCCACAGCCTGCTTCTGTTGCGGAGAGGCTCCTGATGGAAGGAGAGCAGAGAGCCGCTGCAAAGTAGTCACCGACACATAGCCTGGCAAAGCGATAACTCCCATCCAGACCTTGATGGCAGCGGGTTCAGAATTTAGGCTTTAGGGTTAGGGGCTTAGGGGTTAGGTTCGGGGTTTTGCTATTGATTATTGAATTAATTACTAGGTTCGGCTGCAGCGGTTGTCGTCGACAGTAGTAGGGGCCTGTCCACAAGTTAATGTTAATGTACGGCAATATAGGGTTACATGATTTACTCGTACTAAGAATAGATTGATTTAAAAGTTCATTTCGTCAACCGAAATTAACTGTATAAATCTCGTTGCATCAGAGGATCGTCCATTTTCCCCTTGGGTGACGAGTCACAAAGTAGGCCGAAACTCTTGTATTTCATGGCAGCCAGAGCCTCGCAGCAAAATCAATTTAGCTAGTTGGTAGTCAATGATTCCAACGATGGCTCAACCTTCCGGGCCTCACCAACCTCGGTTTCAGCTTTCTTCAGGTATCGATGAATAAAATCGCAGGTCGTCCTGCGTGATGAACTCGCACACTTCAGCCGAAAACCATAATGGAAGAAGGTGTGCACAACCCTTCCTTCGAAAACCCAAATTAATACTTAACCCTAAACCCTTAACCTAAACCCTAAACCCTAAACCCTTAACCTAAACCCTAAATCCTTTGAATGTCCGTTGGTAGTTCGAGGGAGCCAGGGCTTCTAAGCCCACTTCGGCTAGTGTAGTTTCTGAAGCAGCCGAGGCAAAGCCACCGCTGCGAGCCACGAAGCGGTCGATGGCCATCTGCGATCGAGGCTTGGCGTCCAATCTGAGACTCCGTCCATCCCTCGGAAGTGACACGCATGCCCCAAAGGAAAAAAACCTAGAAGTAGACTGGAAGTGCAACATCTGATTTAGGATTCTGATGCTATCGTCTAAAATCAGAAGCCAGCAGACTTTGTAGCGGGGTGGAACACATATTCCGACGACAAAGGCGGCATGGTCTGGCTGCTGCGGGCAAGCATGACTTTATCAGCCTCCTGGCTCAGCAAGTGCAGGAGTCTTCTCTGTAGGCGGCCATAGGTGTTTTTGTCCTCGGATTCAGCAGGGCAAAAGAGCTAGGGCAGGACTTCGGACTTCGGCAATGATGAGTGACATGCTTGAGTAGTTTGCGAAACACAAGCTGACCTAGCCCAGCTGCATCAAACTTCTCCGCGTGAGCACATCTCAGAATGAACCACGTTGCCACATGAAGTCTAACACCTCGCCATAACCACACACCCGAGGCTATCATTGCTCGAGAAGACCGATCAAATATGGCCCGGCCTGTCTCGACGGATTGCTCTGCCTTGCTCAGCAACTTGCAATGCTGCCACCTGGCAAGCCAATATTTTGGTACATTAGGGGGAGGAGTTCGTGATAACCCTAGCAATTCATATCCAAGTTACTTCGAAAGGAGCCCCGTGAACTCCAAGAAGTTTTGCCAATTGTTCAAGTTGACGAATCCTCTCTGCACTTGTAGCAGGCCTAGGTAGCTGTCAAAGAAAGCAGAGGTGAGAGGGTGCTTACTTTATTTAATCGTTGCAAGTGGGGCACAGTTGGGGTTCCCGCGGATGAGGGCGAGCTGCAGGTTGTCGGGCATTGTGTTGCTCAGCAGTGTCTCTAATGCATCCAGGGTAGCGGCTTGCAAAGCCGGCTTGCAGCCTCTCGCTTGCAGCACGTAGCTGGTCTCGGTTCAGGCAGAAGTGCGGTTTAAGGACAAGGTTTAGGGTTTATAGGGTTTAGGGTATTGATTAATAGTGTTGCAGCAAGGCACCAAGAACATCGTTCCCGGCCACGTAAGTCCGTCGAATGGTATGCGGAAGCGGGTTGCATCCACCATGCTGCCTGCTCCCTTGTACGAGTATTTCCGCACAAAATGCGAATTCACATCAACTCGCCAGCTTTCAGCAACATCAGAAGCTAGCCCATCCTGCCTTAGCTATTCTATCTACCGTATTGACCAATGATTACGAAGCGACAGCACCGTCCCCTGTACCAGTATGCAGCAAAGCAGCAGCTTGCTGAAAAAATTCGAGAATAGTTGGCCTCTTTTAAGCAGAGCCCATATCTCTTCCGCACGAAGGAGCAGTCGATAGCCCAGAATAGGCTCCGGCACCTGAGGGACAGCTAAGGCTGCTAAGGTCACCGAGGGCGGTCACCTTAAGTTAGGCACACTTTACCCCTTCCCCAACCAACCCACCCCAAACCCCCACCCCAAACCCCGATATCCAACCCACCAACCCACCCGAAAACCCCACCCCCAAGCCCCCCTAGCGATTGATTACCAACAGCAGCCAACAAATGCTGTGGCCCCAAACCCGGTTCGCTGTTAAGGGCAAAGGGTTTAAGGTTCACTTGCAGCGTTTGGGATAAGGTTCATTCAGGCAGGGATACGAGAGTCGATATCCAAGACTGTCTGCGGCTCCTAGCAGCAGGCAGAAGCCTGTGCAAAAACAACCCTAGCAAACACGAACAAAAGCTATGGGTCCGAGCTCCAGTGTAAAGTGCGGGCTTAGGAGTGGATTATAGAGCCCTTTCGGTTAGGAGTTAGGGGTCTAGTTACGTGAGAGGGAATAGTCTCTGATAGTAGTGGTGATTTCGTTAGTGTATATTAATTAGATATTCATGAAATCCTGAAGCACCTTCGTTAGAAGAGGCACAAGCCAGCAGCTCCCTCGCAAAGGAAATGCCCGAACCCCGACATATAGGGTTTAATTGCTAGTGTTTCTGGGCAGCTATAAGTAACTCTGCCTTTTCCTACCACCAAGAAACACAAGCTGTGGACTAGAACCCCGGCTTAGCATTAAGTAAGGAAGGGTTTAGTGCTCGGGTTTAGGGAATCGGGTTTATGATGAAAACGTAGTAGATACTTTCGGAATGGTTTGCGTGGCAGGAAGTCCTGTGCTACCTTACGGCAAGCACTGCTGGCATCATTCTGGGAACAGCGAACAAAGGCAATGGATCGAAGTTCGGTTTTCGGGTGTAGGGT